CCAGAATTAGTAAATATCTAGCTGACATTCACCAAAGATTTATTGGTCTTCCAACAGTGTTCCAGCATCCAAAATGCTCTGATCCCATATAACATTTATTGTTACATTTAAAAAAAAACCCCACAGAACTTATTATTTTTACAAGTCAAAAAAATAATATACTCAATTGACAACATTAAAATTAAATAATGAATGCATTTGCTTCTTCATTCTTAGGAGATTTGATTCCCTCATGATATTGGGGAGTGCGAAAAAATCATGTCCTCAGTGAGTTAAATATTATCCAAAAAATAAAAGATAATAATTGTTTATCATGAGAGTGACATTCTGCTAGAGATAATTGACCCTTAGAGAGTTGGTTCCTATGTGACAACTGTAGGTAGTATAAACCCTTCAAGATCTTCATACCATTCTGTGTCTGGAAAATCGTTTTCTAGCAGGTATGATTGGACATTTTATTAAAATTTTTGAATCTAGAAATAAATATTTTCTTCAGTAAAAATGAAAAGTTGGAAGAACCTGATATTATGACAAATTAGAAAAAACTTCTACTAAATATATATATATAATTATGTTACTATTCTTCTCATAGTATAATTATTTATGAATGTGCAGTGAAGTGATGTTTATATAATAAAAAGGGATTTGTATCCTTTGAGTATTGACTCCATCAACAGTTGTTGAACATCAGCAATAGGGAAAGTTCTCTTCTAGTTTCTGTTGTTGCTACAGTTATTTGTTTGTTGTTAGATGCCATCAAGTCAGTTTTGACCCATAGTAACCCTGTGCACTACAGAATGAAATAGGGCCCAATGCTATGCCATCCTCATAATTGTTACACTTGAGCACATTGCTGATGCAACTTTTCCAATTAACCTCATTGGGCATCTTCAACATTGTTGCTGAACCTCCACTTTACCAAGTAAGATTTCCTTCTCTAAGGACTGGTCCCACCTGATAGCATGTCTGAAGTATGAGAGACAAAGTCTTCCCATCCTTGCCTCTAAGGGGCATTTTGGCTGTCCTTCTTACAATACAGATTTGTTTCTTCTTCTGGCAGGTCATGGTACTTTTAATATTCTTCTCCAACATATAACTCAAATGCAGCAATTCCTCTATGATCTTGATCTTCCTTATACATTGTCCAACCTTCACATAGCTTAATGAAAGTACCATGGTTGGGTCAGACACGCCTTAGTCCCCAAACTGACATCTTTGCTCTTGAACACTTTAAAGAGGTCTTGAGTAGCAGATCTGCCTATTGCATGTTGTTGTTGTCAGGTGCCATCAAGTCGGAACCGACTCATAGCAACCCATGCACAGCAGAACGAAGCAATGTCCAATCCTGGGCCAACCTCACTACCGCTGCTACACTTGACGCCATCAATGATGTCACCTGGCTGATCCATCTCGTTGGGGGGTCTTCCTCTTTTTCTCTGACCCTCCACCTTACCTAGCATGGCATCCTTCTCCAGTGACTGTTCTCTCCGGACAATGTGTCCAAAGTATGAGAGACGAAGCCTAGCCATCTTGGCCTCCAAGGAGCACTCTGGTTGCACTTCTTCCAAAACAGATCTATTGGTTCTTTTGGCAGTCCATGGCACTTTCAGTATTCTCCTCCAACGCCACAATTCAAAGGCATCAATTCTTCTATGATCTTCCTTATTCACTGTCCAGCTTTCGCATCCTATTGCATACATTAGATAAAATCCTTCCCCAAACAACAGAAAAGCAGATCACACTTTGATGCTTGGTCTCATTCTAGACTACACCTTGTTCGTCTTTCAACAAATAATCATAACAGCTACAAATTAGTAAATACATATTTTTCAAGTTATATTTTTAAAAAATTAAAAGCAAATTGTATGGATAAAGAAACTGAGGAACAGAGAGACGATTTGTTCAAGGCCACACAGGTAGTTAGTGGAAGAGTTGAGATTTCTACCCTTAATGTTTGACTCTCAAATACAATATGGCTTCCGATGTTAATTGTTTCCATCCTTGTCATTGTAGCTATCAACATTGTCACACCTGGTTATCCATCATTGAAAGAAGGATGTGCTTCCATGATGGTCCTCTTGGTACTATCATTCTGCCCAAATGTGGAGAGATGCACTTCATGATACTGTAAGTTCTGTCTCAGTTACATAGGTAATATGTTCATCATTTGCCTATAAATGCTATACATGTTTAAAAAAACTTGAATTATATTCATATTATAGTGGTTTTATTACTTTTGCAAGCAGGTAGAATGAGGTAGAGTTACAATAAGATCAATATGATTGGGACAATGTTACTCAATAGTTTTCTCATTATTACCACCCAGGGAATCATCTTATATATTTTTTCTTAATTGTCCCTCCCCATAAACATTTAATCTGTAATATGTTATATATATGTACATTCATTTTAATGTACTTTATGTGTATCTATGTTTTATGCACAAAACAGTAAGATTTACTTTCATCAGCCAAGATCCTTGGGTAAAATTTATAAAACATAAGAGACATTAAACTCAAAATTTAAGTGATATTAAAATTCAGTAATGTGACAGCCAACTAAGATAGAATGAGTGGAGGAAATTGACATGCCTTATAGGGTGAGATAACAGCTTGAAAATTATCTTGGGTTTGTTGCTATTAAGTGTCATCAAGTCAGTTTCTACTTAGAGCAGCCCTGTATAGGGTTTCCAAGGAGTGGCTCATAGGTGTGAACCACCAATCTTTGGGTTAGCAGTACAGTACTTAACCTACTGTGCAAGCCAGGACTCCATACTGGATTTGTTGTTGTTAAGTGCCGTCGAGTCGGTTCCGACCCATAGCGACCCTGTACAGGGTTTCCGAGGGTGTAAATCCTTACGGGAGTAGAAAGCCTCATCTTTCTCCCGCGGAGCGGCTGGTAGTTTCGAACCGCTGACCTTAAGGTTCGCAGCCCGATTCGTAACCACTACGCTACCAGAGCTCCTTACTGGATTTAGAGGAGTAGTAAAAGAGATTTGAGATAAATAAAGCTACACACCATACATGAGTTACCACTTATCTCTAAATTAATTCATCTATGCATGATTCAGATACTTTCATTGATGGATATTTTAGATACTGCAGTGAAATTGTATTATATTATATTATGTTGTTGTTGTTAAGTGCCGTCTAGTTGGTTCCGACCCATAGCAACCCTGAACAGGGTTTCCGAGGCTGTAAATCTTTACGAGAGCAGAAAGCCTCCTCTTTCTCTTATGAAACAGCTGGTAGTTTCAAACTGCTGACCTTGCAGTTTGCAGCCCGATTTGTAACCACTACGCTAAGTTTTATAAAATATTATAATTTCAAAGAAAGGAAATATTTATATCCACATGTCCAAAAAGTATAAGTGGAAGTA